CATCAGTGTTTAGCATGTGAGAAGGTATTGCTCTTCGGTGTAGCGTCTTATTAAAGCTGTGTTTCTTGGTGTGTTTTGCAGGCAGACGCTGTCACCGCTCGTGTAACGGACGCTGCTGGGGCCCGCAGGAAAGCCAGTGTCAAACCTGTGAGTGTGTCCAACTACTAACAGTTTCCCTGGACTTCCACAGACGTGTTTGTTTCCCTCTTTGTTTTTGCCTGAGATTAAAGTGTAAATGTCTAATTAAGTGTAAAGATTATCGACAAGAAAATGCAATTATTAGCCAAGAAAGTAATTTAATTGACAGAAAAATTAAAAAGAAAAAAAATTGTGCAATTTTGACAGAAAGAATGAGGATTAAGGGTGACAGCCTATTTTTTTTCTCTAAGTTTATTCTCCGAATTTTAAGAAAAAAATTGGAAAGTAAAGTAAAGAAGAACAGGGTTAATTGAACTTGACTTTGTTCTCAAAATTCTGGTTTTAATCTCAGACTTCTGGCTTTTCTAAAAATTGTTAAAAAAAATAAAGTCAGCATTTTGACTTTACTTTAAAAAAATTAGATTAAATACAGATTTCTGATTAAAAAGGCCATTATTTAATAAATAAACAAACTTAAAACTCAAGATTTTTTTTTCTATTTCTTTGTGCTAATCCTTTTTAATAGAAAGAAGTGGTAGTTTTAATCATATTGGAAAAACCGTAAATATTGATAATTAAAGTTGCATTTTTTTGACAGAATAAAATCATAATGTTGAGAAAATGGTAATCTCTCCAGACATAATCCAGAGGAAGTGAACCCCACTGTGCTTCTGCACCTGTATTTGTTTTATCAGTTGTTAGTTTTGTATCTGATGGTGCACTTCTAATAAATTAATTACAAAAAAACCGTAATATTTTAGTTGAAACAGTAAATTACTTCCACTGTTCACACAACTTGTTTTAGTCCTTCAAAATAAGGGTCTCAAATACATACACGTACAATACACATCCCTGGCGGTCTATTGTCTTTCATCTGTTTTATTAAAGAACAATAATGTCAGCAGTTTTATAAGGTTCAGGTGTTCAGAGATGATTTTTGAGGTTAACTGTACGTATGTGTTTTTGACTCCTGTTTTACATTTCGGTGCCACACAGGTGAAATCCAACACTACCTTTGTGTTAGTAATATGTCCAGCCTTGCCACCCCTAATAAACATTTCAGTGCTCTGTCACTGTCTCCCCCTTTATATTTTATGAGTCGTTCCAGTACAAGATGTCCCCACATTGCAACACCTCACTCTAGTTAGACACTGAAATAAAGCAATATTGCAGAGGGGTACACAGTGGATCTTACTTTTTCGGTGACAATAAGCTTTGTGTTTGCACCTCTTACAATATGGCAGACTTGTTGAAGCTCCAAAAAAGCTTRCATATGTGACTAAAATCATAGTGTTGGCTAGGAAACAATAAAGTAAATAACATGGGTAATAATAAAGATGTAATATATTATGTGTACGTGCAAGGACAGATTAGATTGTAATTGACATGCATAGCAACAACAAAACATTTAAAATAAAGTCTTTATTCCTAATAAATTTCATGCTATAGGTGCATCCCAAATTTGTAGTGGTTTGGATGGGGGTCTTTTGGGGGGGGCATTGGTTGACCTGATGGATAGCCCCTCATCAGATCTAAACAAAAGAAATCTGAAGCTCCTATGTTTAATAGTTTTTGAGCAACAACCCTTTTTTGTAAGTCCATCCCTTTTTCAGATGAGTTGGGGGTTCGGGGGTGGGGGGCACTGATTGTTGGGCCTGATGGATAGAGCTTCATCAGAGCTAAACAACAAAAGAGATCTGAAGCTTCTACGTTGAACAGTTTCTGAKTTATAAGCATTTTTGCATGTCCTGACACCCCAACTTTGAAAGGAGCCCCCTCCTCAAATATGGGGTCTATCGTAAAACCGTTGGCTGGCGCAGTGTAGGTCRGACWCWTCTACAKTSCTGCCAAATTTCATGATGATCGGTGCAGCCATTTTTGTGCTACGGTTGACCAAAAATCTCTGGAGGGGAAAAAAAAACAGTATGAAAACAATATGACTCCCGTGTACGCTTCATGTGCGGGGGTCAGAATAAAATGCAACTACAAATACTGATATTAGATTTAAACCCACTCTTATGTTTTTTTGAAAAGTTGGCAGCCCTGAAATATATATTATAATGCCATCATCTAATAACTACAGTCTGACTTTTGTTTGAATTCATCCAGTGSTTCATGATATTTTGCTAACAGACATTATTGCCTGCCTTTGTTAGCAGAGGGTATTAGTCATTGTGTAAAGAATGAATATTTATCTCGTTTTGTTGGGTTTTAACATATTTCCTTTTAATAAACCTGTTTCTACTGAGACAAATAGGCTGAAATGATCATCATAACTAAAAGAACTAGAGAAAGACTCATTTTTTGTTTAATTACCTTAGCTTTTTTTCTAAGAGTTATACAAGCCAATAGCATTGTTTTGTTTTTGTTTTCTACATTTGCGTCATTTCATTAGCAGCTACAGAGTGTAAACAGCAGTTTGTATTGGCGCTCCTGCTGACGTGTGTGGGAGATGGCTCTTCAAGTTTAATGCAAGAAGAAAATTCATATTTCACTTAGACCCATCCACACCAGACTCCTTTATATTGATTTTGAATAAAAGGGCAGAAAGTGTGGAGTTATTGTTTCCACTGGTGTTGGTATGGCAACAAGAAAAAAAAAAAGAAAAAAGGAAGGCCTCCAGAGTATTGGGACAGTTTTGGAAAGCCACTTGGCAGAAATCAGCCATTGTATAAACCCAGTTCAGTCCAGTACAACTGGATTTATTCTTCATTTTCTCCAAATTAAATCTTGAGTAAACCAGCTAAATTTCCCCCAGCAGCACGGCGCCGCCTCAGATTTGTACCTGCCAAGCTCAATTCTCAGCTGCAAGACACTGAGCTAAATCTGGAAGAAGAGACTCGCTCAAGGACAGCTGTAAAGCAGGTGTTGAGAGAAAGGAGTGCTTCATTTTTCTTTTCTTTTTTTCTTTTTCTTTTCTTTTTTTCTGCCTGGCTATTCAAACCGGCAGTTACATGCTTAGAAATCCTCGTGTCCAACCTTTAGGTTGCTGATGTCCCTATTCGTTCTGGCGATAGACTCCCGCTCGAGACGAAGGTTGAGGGTGGTGGTATTGTCTCCTTTTATGAATGTGTGCGAACGCTTGTGTCAGACCTTTGAAAATGTGGTCTTTTCTCTTCCTGGGCAGTGACAAAAACGGTATGTGCAGAGCAGTGTGACGGCCGATGCTTCGGGCCGTTCGTCAGCGACTGCTGCCACCGGGAATGTGCCGGCGGCTGCTCCGGTCCCAAAGACACAGACTGCTTTGTACGTCTGCAACACACAAACACACTTCTAATGTCTTCCCTAACATTTTTATCACCATAGTGTACATGTTTAGTCTAATGTCTTATTTTCCTGTTTATTTATCCTTACATTTTTAGTAGCCTGTTTCTGTTATTTCAGCTATGCATACAAGAACATATTCAGCTCATTCAGGGTGCTTTTTTTTTTTCTTTTGACTCTTTTTTTTAATATGTAACTTTCTAAATTATTTCCCCGTAGAAATATGTGACCCCTCACATCAAATCAGGGACCAACTATATTTGATCAAACTAAACTAAGCACATTTTCAGATTCCTGGCTCAAATTGACACCTCGATCATCCTGACATCATGAGTGCTTCCAGAGATTTGACTTGATTTGTTTTACTAACTGGGAGAAAATCGGTCTGAATCGTATTTTTAGCGTACAGTGAAGCCCCGCAAAATCGCATTTCAGTTTGCGGAATCAGTCTTTCACTGTTTTTTTTTTCATAGAACCTAACTTTTATGGTAATCCTCAAAGTTTTGCAAATCGTAAGTTTATTTTTCTCTCTTACATGCTTTTTTTTTTGGTGACTTTCCAAAGTAAATTATTAAAGGGGCAATATCATGTAAAATCAACTTTTTTTGAGTTTCATATCATGTTATAATGTTATACTCTCATAAAAAAACATGCCCAAAGCCTTGCTTTGACTCATTCAT